CAAGAAATTCAGGTGTACATTATGATGATAATGATGATGATAATGAAATATTGAATAGACGTCATAATGGTGGTTTTGGTCCACATCATCATCCATCAAACGATTATTATGGAAATCATCAGCCAAATCAATTAATTTCTAGATCAAAAACATTACAACAACAATGGCCTGGATCATTACAATCACCTGGTTCGTATTCAACATTGAATAATAACAGAAATATTGATAATAATTTACGACGATCATCAACATTATTACAGCAAGATGATGATAATGATGAATATCGAAATAGACAAAATATACAACAATCACCACCATTATATTCAAATTTTGTTAATAATAATCATTATCGACCTGATAGAACAAGGATGGATAGAAATCGTCCATCAATAAATCAACAACGTGGACGGCTATTTTAATCGAATTGGATGTTTATTAATTTTTTTTGTTGTTGTAATTCTGTTCTTCTCCTTTTGTTTTTTTTCTTCTTCACCCTTTTTACCTTGATTTTCAAAGACAAAAAACTGTAATTTATTCATTCAAATTTTGCGCTGAAAATATTGAATAAAATTCAAATTATTATTTTAATCATTATTGACTTGATGAGTTGAAATAGATTCGAATTGGTTTTTTTCGCTCACATGTGTGACAAGCTAAATCATTCGATTTTATGTAATTTCACGTTCGATTTTTTTTTGTTTAATTTAGAAAAAAAAATTATCAATGACTTTAAAAATTAATTTTACCAATTATCATTTACAAAGTGATTGGCAAGATGCATCGTAAGTTGTTTGTTGTTGTTGTAACTGAATCCATATTTTCGTTTATTGTTTTTTTTGTTTCATTGTGAAGAATAAATGAAAAAATTTGGCTACATTCGATCAATATCAAAAATAATAATCATAATGATGATGATTTGAAGAAAAATTATGATTTAAAAATTATCAATGAATCAGATATCATTATCGATAATGATAAAAAGAATGATGATAATGATTTTATAATTGAAGATTATTCAAAAAAATGTCTAGCTATTAATGATGTTAAATCGAATGTAACACATCGATTTATTGCTCCTGTTCGAGTTTTTCAATCGATTCATCAAAAATCAATAATATCATTGGATGTAGCACCGACTGGAATAGCTGTATCATCATCAACCGATGGTACAATGAAAATATGGGATACATGTACAAATGTTTTAAAATATGAATTAAAAGGTCATTATTTGGATGTTAATCGATGTCGATTTTTTCCATCAAATGAAGTTATAGTCAGTGTTGGATTGGATATGTTAATTAAAATTTGGTCAGCAATCGATGGTTCATGTCCAGTTACAATGAAAGGTCATACTGGTTCGATAAATGATTTGGCTATTGTTGATCGTGGACGTAATATTATTACGGTTGGTCGTGATGGATTAGCAAAATTATGGAGTTGTGCAAAACAAACATGTATTGAAAATTTATTCGATACTGAAAATATACCTATAAATGCCTGTGCAATCAAATCATTTTCAAATTCATATGATCTTGGTCAACGTAAAGATTCGGCTAATGATGATTG